ATATGGACATGGTTTTGAATATTGCAAATAATATATGGATGTATGATTTTGAATATTGCAAAATAATATATAGATATGATCCTCAGTATTTTAATGTAATGTAATGGATATGTTCCTAAGTATTACCATATTGTAAAGTAATATGAAAGTATTTGAGTTGTTTATTGTTTTAAAGTAATACATGGATTTGATATTGAGTATTACAGAGGATTATATAGTGTTGGGTTTATTATTTTTTGTTCATTTATGAATATAATAACTGGAAACAATATAATTGTTAATTTTGTGTATTGTTTATATATGGTCTTTTATATTGAAGTGTAATATTGGAAGGGTGCAGAATAATGTAATTCTGAATTGGTATGAATTCCATTAGTTATTCAAGTACAGAGTGTATGAAAATTATATATTTATATAAAGTGTAATAAAATACATTGCAATAAAGAAGGTTTTCACCGATTCAGAGGTCTTAGTTTACACTACCAAGCTCTTAACACATAATTTTGATACACCCTGTTCCTATTGACTTTATGATGTCTTTTTAATCGTTTAATGTTTTCAGGTGTTGGAACAATCATAGATGACCTCTATTTTAAATAATAGACAACTAAGAGTGCATATTGTACATTGTATTTTTAAAATAATTTTAAGTTTTAATGTAAGTTGTTATTTATTTTAAATAATTTAATATAAATTTTGTATACATATATATATATATGTATAAATAAAAGGATTTTATAATATTGTTTTGAATATCATATTTTCATATTATTATGAGGAATATTCTCAAATTATTAGAAAATAAAAAAGAATTTTTATATATGTAAATCTAAATATATTTTTAGGTATGAATTACTATATTTACTTCCTAAAGGAATCTACTTGGAACAATCCTATACCTTCTAGCCTTAGACCAAAGGGATCTACCGGACATTTCAACCTTTCTTATTGACCTCTCAGGCCCCTACTTTCCCATAGGTGAGGGTTAAGTTTACATGGGAATATCCCCACTCCTTTAGAATAAAGCCTGCAAGTGAGAATATTCTGGGTACTTCAGGGAAGTTACCAGGTTTTGAACCTCAAAAATTCATTCAATCGGTCTGTGATCCGCGTTGTGTGCGTGTTGTTTCGTTGCGTGTTCGCTTTGTTTCGTAATTTTAAAATAGTATTCGTATTTTTATAATATATATAAATTCTTTAATGTTCGTTTTGTTTGTTGTATTATTTTCATAATTTTTCTGCACTACAAGAAGGTAATTTTTTGTATGGTTGAAGTTCCGTTACATCTTAGCATGAGTATATATAACCTTAAAAAAGATCGATTTAAAAATAATTAATTCATACAAAACTTTAAAGTTTATGTTTTATTCGTTGTATACTGTAGAAATGAAACGAAATGTACCACGTTCCTCACATCAAGACGAGAAATGCAAATCATCACGAAGCGAAGATTACGAAGCTTCACGTTCAAGAACAGAAGAAGAAAAGATGCAACGGAGACGCGAATGGATGCTTCAACAAGAACGGGAACGAGAACATGAAAGATTGAAGAAAAAAATGATTTTAGAGTATGAAATGAAACGTGCTCGTGAGAAAGGTTTACCAGCTCCGAAACATTCGACTCCCAGTTGTAGTAAAAGTAGAAGCAAATCTCCCCGAAGTCAACCGAGAAGAACTTCTACTTCTACTTCTACTTCAAAAAAAGCTCCTGTTCTTTCTGAAAGGTAACTACAAATTACAGAAGAATTTTAAAGGTTACCAAATTTTACTATAATTTTTAATTCTTGTAAAATTGAAAAAGAATTAAGAGAAATTTCAATTTTCGAGATTAATAAATGAATGATATCCAATGTAAATTACATAGCATTCAATTTGTTTATGTGAAATAAGTATCTATTATATATTGACCTATTATATTTCAGATTAGAATCATTGGATGGAACAGTACCAATATTTAAAGGACCAGAAGGTACACAAATTAGTGCAAATGAACTTCGAAGGATTAAAGTAGATATTCATAGAAATATTCCTGGAGAATCGAAAGACACAGAACTTCAGCGGGATATTATCAATCCGGAAGATGTAGTGGTCAAAAGAAGAGAGGGTAAATTGTTGTTTTTGCATTACAAGCTTTTAATTGTTCTTTTAGTCAACAGTGAAGAAGTTTCTAAAAGACAAAACATGACATCTCCGCTGAAGATCAGAATTTGTAAGATTTTCTATAAATCACAATTGGGAAATTATTTTAGGAATAATATCTATTTTCTTATATAAGGATCTTTTTTGAAATTCAATATTGAACTAGACCAAAGATTTGGAAGTCGTCAATTTCTATCTTGCATCAGTTGAAGAGAGGAAACTTTATGTGACAACTCTTACAGCCATGAAGATAATGAATTATGAAGTTAATAACAACCTTAATTTACCCAGGATATAACAATTTTGGATTACAACGTTGGATCACTGTTACTATCATATAATGTGCAATACGTAAGCACAACATTTTTTACTTAGAGTGTTTAAAGCTTTGCTTTGCATATCCTTTGCTTTGTATATTTTTATTGCTGGTTTTCGTATATACATGCTCTTATAGGTTTGCACAAAGTATTACGTTTCAGTTATATTAGCAAAATAGGCTTTATTATGAAAACTTAATTTTTCAAGCAAAAGTACAAGTCCTGTGAATTTATAAATACATTCTATGTATTTTTGTGATATTTTGGTGTGGGAATGTGTGCATGTTTTTATATATATTATTGTGGCTGGCTTTCTTAAAAATGCTTTATTTGCTACAATAGCAGAACTGAAAAAAGTCTTCGACAAGAGATATTGAATGAAATATTTGTATGATTTATTAATTGAAAAATTAAAATTAAACCAAAAAATTGTCGATTAGTTTAAATTTCATAATTGAATATGTATTAGTTTTGATGTCCATTCTTTGTATCTAAAACATGAATATTTGTATAAACTAGTTTTTGCAACATTGAATTGGTTTATCGTGGTTAAATATTTCATTTGAAATAAGTAAATTAGATTTTACTGTTTATAATGAAAGTGGGAATTCGTGAATCTGCAAACTGGAAGAGCTATTGATCATCTTGGAAGATAATCATCTTGGAAGATTTCATTGCAGGATACACTGTAGATAATCAATTCAAGTTCCTTCAGTTTAATTAAAATATATTTTTACTTTCTAACTTTATTTTTTAATAGATAAATTAAGTATAGTAAAAATATTAATAATTCCTTACTAGTTTGTACATGTAATTTTGTATAAACTGAGAAAGTATTTAATATGGTTTGTATGAAGAACATATTACATATGAAACATTAAATTAATAATGGAAATTCAAGGTGGCATAAACAGTGCAATTTATAGAAATTAACTTTCATTTAAATACTCTGTTATAAATATTCAAATACGAGTCCCTTATTTTATGTTTATTCTGACACTGAAGAAAATTGTAAGCTACTTCTATCTTTAGACATTGTATCAATTTTGAAGAATAATTTTATTTAAGTAATACCTTTAATATGCAAAATGAAGACTTGTATATACCAATGAGCATAATCTGTTTACATCTTTTTGTAATATTTATTCTGGAGAAATATTTAGTAATACTAAATTTAAGATTTAACTAAACCTAATACTGAACTTGAACCATACAAACAATGTACAGTTAATAATTTGTCTGTGCTAAGAAATATTCACATAAGTTACTTCAATTTTTTAATTTGTAATATAATCCAATATTTATTTTGATGGCTTACAATTGTTCAGAAGTAGTCAGTTTATCCGAATAGCAACGTTAACATCTTCAAGGTCTGTCATAGCTGCTAATATTGCTTAACTGCTTCTTTTGTATATATTTAAATTGTTCCTTCTAGTAAGAAATTGGTGTACTTACAGGAGAAGGATCTAAACCAATATTTGAGAGGGATGAAATAAAAGGAACATCAGAAGAAATTGAAGAACGTCGTACTGTTGTATCTGTAAATAACGAAAATTTAGGTAGGTTTAATATTGAAACTAATAAATATTAATCTTTCTGATTACATAAATTACTTTATTATCATTCATGTTACTTTACAATTGATTGAACAAAATTACAGGTTACATATTTTACATTTTATTTCTATCGGATCGTAATTTCTACTTTACAAGCGTAAAATTTTTAATTTTTAGAAGGCAAGTCGAAAACGTTTAAAAAGCGTTCGACGTCTCTGAGTCCGGTTAGAACTCGAAGTCACAGTCCTCGACGCACATCATCTCGACATTCCAGGTCTGTGCCTGCATTGGCAATGTTATTTTGCGCAAAGGCAAAGCTCTGATTAGCATCAATTAATTGTTATTGAACGTTTTATTTATCTGTAAGACAAATTTTTACTATTTTAATATGGATATGATTACTGGTATGCAACTAATTTGTGAACGAATAGAAAAAGTATTAATAATAACTTAAGTTTTTCAATCACATAACAGCACTCGTTCATAAATTTGATTGCATACATTAATATTATAGAGAGTATTGCTGTTGTATGTGTATATGTAGAAGGTTAATGCAGGTATTGATTGTTTTTTATCGAAAATGATCAAATTATGTTAAAATATATGACATAACACAAGTATTCTTGGATATAAATGTAAAGTATAATAGATGTGCCTTAAGATATGTTGTATATATGTTGTATATATCTGTTAGAGACTTATATCTAATTCTATATCTAAGTCTCAAAATTATGTTACTCGCATATTGTGCTTGTAATCTGCTTTTTAGGCACGCTTTGTTTTTTGTACTACAGTCTGTTTTGTTCTAGCTTTACTAATGCTTCACAAGGATATGGAGAAAGGACAACATGGAGCAAGGATAAGATTTTCCATGTACCTGACTGTATGCATATGCTTGCTTATGCTAATACCACAGCTTATATTTTAATTTTCATAATACTGATGCATTTGAAGGCACTCCTTTAAAATGTATCGCAAAAACAACATATTTTTTCATATAAGATGGTCCATTCATTTTTTGCATTTAAATTAACTTCATTACTTCTAGAAGTAAAGTAAATCGCTAATAGATGGAACTATTCGGTTTAACATGCTCTACATTGTAATAAATAGGATATTTTTTATAAGATCATTTTTTTCAAGGAGATTTCAAAGTGATCTACATTTTTTTTTGTCGAACGATGTCTTCTTGGTATTATAAAGCATGGCAAATCTTACAATTTATAATTTGGTGATTGTTAAATGACTTTAAGCATGAAAATAATGTTTTTGTTAATTTTAATATCTTTTCTTTATTGTTCTAAAATATATTCTAGAGAATTCAGATTAGTTTAAAATTAACATTTGGTATATAATGAAGAGTTTCGTCAATAACACTTTTAAAAATTAAAATTTGTAAAATTTAGGAATTTTGAAAATGAAATGTTAAAATTCTTGTAAGCAGTAAAAGTTACTAGTATTCCTTGAGGTTGCTATCATATTCAGGTAACATTATTAATCCAAGTATGAGTAATAGTATTGCAAGGTAAGGAATTTCAAATGTAAAAAATTAAATTAAAAGTGCATGCATAATAATAGATGGATAACAGATCACGGAATTATTTTACATTCACTTCATTTTTCACTTTGCACAATACTTGTTCGCGCTTTTAAAGTAATTGTACAACTTAGATTTCATGACTTATTTTCAATGCATTTTGTAAATAATTTGTGCTATAATATTGCTTTTGACTTTAAAAAAGGGGCAAGTGATTGAGTATTTAGTACAAGAATCTTTTTGAGTTAATATATAATATTACATACTGATCTTGAATTTTTTTATATACAGAACTGAAATTTTTATGAAATTGTAATATATTTGATGAAAATTGACATTATAAGTCTGACTATATAAGTAACTACTTTTTTTTTACAAAGTATAAGGGTGTGTGTCAAAGGTTAAATCCAAGTGTTGAAAAAAATGATTTTTTCACAGGAATTAATAATTTGACAAAATTAATATGGATATGAACAAAATAATATGGATCACAAAGAGTATTGCATTATAGACATAAGTTTAGACCTTAAGATTATTATTATTATATTAAGTTAATTAGAAATTCATATAAACAGTGTTTAGCAGGTTGTATATTTTATTCATTTATAATTCTTTCTTAGGCATGAAGACTCAAGACACGAAGACAGAGGAAGTTGTAGAAGTAATAGGTGAGTTTTACATCGATTTAATTTTATTTATTCGTGTGGTGTATATACTCTTCAACTAAATTTGATCACATTATTATTTTATTCATTAAGAGAAAGACAAAGTAGGGATGGTAATAGTTACAGAGAGGACAGACGACGCACTCAGTTGTATAGTATTGAGGAAGAACGGAACAGGAGAAGTCGTCGTGATCATTCGCATTCAAGAGAGAGGGACCAACGAAAATGGGATAAAGATTCTCGTCATAGGTATGTTATAAAATAATATTTTCAATGTTATACCTTTTATGAGCCAGGTTTTAAAAAAATGCTAATATTTAGAGATGGGAGATCTTATCGAGAGTGTCGAGAGAGATCGAGAGAGCGTTCTCGGGAAAGGAGGGATAGAGATAGGTCTAGAGAAAGAAGAGTTCCTCCACAACATTATATCGAACAAATTCCTGTTCCTATTTATTATGGTGTACGTATTTTAGTTATAATAATCAATTTAGTGATTTCATAAATAGAAAACTCAGTTATTATTTTACAGAATTTTCCTCCAAGACCAATAATGATGGGACCTTTAGTCCCAATTCGTGGTCAAGTTCCTCTTGGCAGTAATAGACATCCTACTATGATAGGGCCATTGCGAGGACCATTCCCACCGAGGTTTATTCCATCGGATATGTATAGATTACGTTCACCCCAAAATCCAAGTATGTACACATTTACCCACTTTTCGGCGATTGCACAACTTAACAAGTTTTTAATTATTGACATTTTATACAGGATTCGGACCAATGTTTTAATGCAAATGGACTGTGATAAAAGTTTGCTAAATTAAGAATTTTCGGCGATATTTAATTGTGTTATATGTTCTTGACATGCCAAATTTTAAACTAATTAACAACGACGAAAATTTTCATTATGTATGATGATTTAGTAAATTCAATTTAGGATAAATTTTATTATTGTATAAGATGTAAGTAGAGTTTTATTACTGCTTGTTTAAGTTATAGAAATCTCATGCTACAAAAAATACAGACGTCTACAAATTTTTACAGTATACTGATAGGAAATTTATGTCAATT